CTCGCCCAAGTCAGAGGTAGTCACAGTGCAAAGACTGCAACTCAGCCACCTGACTCCAGTCCCATAACATAAACCACTGGTAGAGAATGCAGTTTACTTTCTGCTGAATTAATAATTCACAACAGTGTGCTGGGAATTCTTTGGAGTGTAAGTCTATACACATATGTACTGGAAGAGAAGAGATGAAGGATGAGAACAGTTGTATTCTCAAGGCCTAGCACTGTGGTTAGTAAATAATATGTGTTTAATAAACATTTATTGAATGGTGACTAGGGTTTCAGGGCAGGGGTAAGTCACTTTGGATTGGAATGGATAGAGAAGGTAAGGCTTGAATCTTCAACTGAGCCTTGAGTCATAGCAGAGATTTGAATAGGCGAAGAGTTAGGTAGGAGGGGATACCAAGTGAAAAAAAAATGGTCATACAAAAATCCTTGCAAGTAGGGAGGAAGAATCCCTTTTTTGAGAAGAATATGTAAAGCAGCTAAATTGGAATGTGTTTTAGGTGAGACCATAGCCTTTGCATTTGTCCTTATATCCATTCATCCATGCATCCATATCTATCCAAACATCCATCCATCCATCCATCCATCTAAACATCCAATCCATCCATCCATCCATCCATCTAAACATCCAATCCATCCATCCATCCATCCATCCATCCATCCATCCATCCATCGAAGCAACCATCCATGCATCCAGCCAATAAATGTTTATTAAGTACCAGGTACATGGCATGACTCCTATAGACTTGAAAAGTAGGTTGGAACCAGATAGAATGTCAGACTCAAGATGAACTTTAACTTGATGATGGCAAGCCATTGATGTTTTTCTGAGTCATGAACAGAGATTTTGGAAGTTTAAAAGAAAGAGTAGATTAGCAGAATTAAACAGGATGGATTGGAGAGAAAGGAGGTAGGAGTGAGAAAAATGCACCAGAGGGAAATGCCAAGGTCCACAGGTAGGAGGATAAGCTCTGGACTGATGTGGTAATGGGGGTAAAGAGAAGGAGGACAGGAAAAGGCCTAGGTTTGAGAGATGTTAATACATAAGTGGAATTTTTTTTTCAGCTGGTAATCCTGAATTTTGAGAACCTCAAATTTAAAAAAGAATACACTTGTAGATATATAAAATCAGATCTTTATGCAAAACATTGGTAATCCTTTGATATTAGTGTGTCCAGTAATGCCAAAGGAAAACTCTAACAGTATACTGGCCTACAGAAGAGGGTTATACATCTTCTTCTGTTACTTTTTTTTATTAGATGGAATACATTACAGCCACCTCTAAGTCATGATAGAGAGTGAAAGCATGGATAATAGAAATGCATAGATTATCCTAAATCCATCTTTAAGCCTCCTTTTCTATCAAATCTTTTATCGAAGTTTCTAACAAGGAGCAGGTTTATAACTTTGAATTTGATCTACTGACCATACGCACCTTCTGTGCTGGGAGGTTGTGAGAGGGAAATGGCTAAATGATGCCAGAGCAGAGAGCACAGAAGACATTACAGTTTCTGATAGTTCAACAAATTCTTTGATTTTAGTCACTGAAGATTGAGAGGTAAATGAATACATGTTGCTTGGCACTGAAATGACTTTTCCCTGTCTTTCTGCGCTGGGTGATGACAGTTACTTTTCTTTAACAATCGCTGCATTCCTTTTATGGTCTTGGAATCCTGGAGTTGGAAACAACATCAAAAGTTCATCATGTTTCATTTCCCACTTGCCAACAGAATTAAACCTAAACTGTCCAAGCCGGATCATTGGCTGTTCTGTTCTTTGAGTCTCGGGCTTAGAGGACAGTCCTGGGTATATGATGGAAGGGAGTTAGTTAGCTGGCAATCGGCTTATTGTGTGCTGGAGTTTTGAGGGTAGTTATCAGCCTGCTTAGCAATAGCATAAAACATGCCCACATAGATGAATGTGATCTGTGTGGCAATCTGATGTTCTAGAATACAAATGATGGGAATATGTGGAATGAAAGGACAATTGCCTTTGGAAAACAGTATTTTTCATCTATTAGAGATTTGTTTTCATAATGTTTGGCACACAGCATAGCTCAGAGCAGGCCCATGATAAATGTTTATCAGCTAGGGAAATATGGCTGCCCGGGAGAGTGCGTTATGTTAATTTCCATTGTGTGGTCCCTGAGCTCTTTTCCCCTCTGGCGGTCACTGCAGAACCAAAAGGAGCTCCATCATGCATTAGTCCATAAGATGCTGTGAGAAGGAGAGAGTTCTAAAATCAAATAAGGTTGGGAAATACTGTATTTTCTATCTTCTCTTTGGAGTTGTGATGTACGTGAGCACATGAAGGATTTGCAAGGACCAGAAATAAAGAAACCTGTTTAGGGGCGCCTGGGTGGCTCAGTGGGTAAAGCCCCTGCCTTCGGCTCGGGTCATGATCTCAGGGTCCTGGAATCGAGCCCCGCATCGGGCTCTCTGCTCAGCGGGGAGCCTGCTTCCTCCTCTCTCTCTGCCTGCCTCTCTGCCTGCTTGTGATCTCTGTCTGTCAAATAAATAAATAAAATCTTTAAAAAAAAAAAAAAACCTGTTTATATCAGATGAATTCAGTATTTGCCAAATCTGTTTGGCCAGAGGACCCCCCCCTCCTTTTTTTGCACAAAACATATTAACCATTCATACTCTAAGAAATACTGCCTTTTAAGGTTAATTTTTCACATTTTTTTTTAAGATTTTATTTATTTGACAGAGAGAGAGAGAGAGAGATCACAAGTAGGCATAGAGGCAGGCAGAGAGAGAGGGGAGGAAGCAGGCTCCCCGCGGAGCAGAGAGCCCGATGCGGGGCTCGATCCCAGGACCCTGAGATCATGACCTGAGCCGAAGGCAGAGGCTTTAACCCACTGAGCCACCCAGGCGCCCCAATTTTTCACATTTTTTGCCCGAGGGATAGATCATGTTTTATTTTTGTGTGTATATGCTCTATGTTAACTGGCGCATAGTAGGCTCAGTAAAGACTTAACATGTGTAAGGTGAAAATGGCCTGTGCAGGTTGGTTGAGTTGATATCAACTGCTGATCATGAAGGCTGGGGTGGGGTGCTTGTCCTGAAGATAAAGATGGACAGGGCCACAGCTGGGATCAGACAGAAAGGGAGGAGTGACATAGAGTGGATTCTGAATTCAAAGGGCCTGTTTTTTTGTTTGTTTGTTTGCTTTTTAAGATTACAGTGAGAGAGGGAACACAGCAGGGGGAGTGGGAGAGGGAGAAGCAGGCTTCTTGCGGAGCAGGGACCCGAATGTGGGCCTCCATCCCAGGACGCTGAGATCATGACCAAAGGCAGAGGCATAGCCTCCGAGTCACCCAGGTGCAAAGGGCCTGTTTTTTTTATTTTGTTTTGTTTTAAAGATTTTATTTATTTAACAGAGAGAGAGACAGAGAGAGAGACAGAGAGAGAGAATGCACAAGCAGGGGGAGTAGGAGAGGGAAAACCAAGGTCCCTGATAAGCAGGGAGCCCAATGCAGGGCTCGATCCCAGGACCCTGGGATCATGACCTGCACCGAAAGCAGACACTTAACTGACTGAGCCACCCAGGCGCCCACAAAGGCCCTCTTTTTATCCCAAGTAGAAGATCGGAGCTTCTGACACCACTCTTCAAGATCTTTATAGTCCATTTTCCTTAATTGTTACAACATCCCTCTTAAACCACCTATTTTTTCAAACTTTCCAGAAATACGTCATGGATGTACCTCATTTATACTTAGTGTTTATTATCAAACTATTCTAGAAATGTCATTCTTAAAATTTCAGCCAAGCAATTATTTGGAAATGAGAGCTTATTTGGAAAAACTATCTGAAGGCTACACATCATTGTATTTGGGACCTCTAAGTCATGCAGTGTTCTCCCAGCTTACTACTGTAAGTCTTACATTATCTTCCATGTGTCAGGACAGTGCTACCCAGCATTGACCTAGAGCAGAACCCCCAGAGACGCCTTGCAGTCGACTACAAACCAGTTAGGGAGGATCTGATTGTAAACCCAGGCCAAAAGGATCTAACACGCCAGGGGGTGTTGTCTGTCGGCCTCAGACATCCCTGGGAAATGCTATTAGAAAGTCTGTTTCATACAGCTCTGAATATGGCTGCTTCATGGTGTGCTCCAAGCAAAGGAAATTGAAAATAGAAATCAGCAGTGTTCCAGTGCCTTCTGTTGGCATCATACATTTTGTGAACAAAATATTTCACCATGTATCCAACAACAGAGAGCAGTATGCTGGAAATTACTCCTTTTGACCACATGTACCTGAAAAACAACGTTTAGCTCTCTTAAAGTCCTCATTGGAGAATAAGTTGAATAAATATCAAAAGGTGTTTTAAAACTTTGCTTTTGCCTATCTACGAGAAGCTGGGTAGCACGGGAGTTTTCAAGTTTAGCCTAACTTGAGTGGTGGGCATACGGTTGCCTAGTGTCTATATCTGGGTCTCAGAAATATCTATTTTGTTATTCCTTTTACGAGGACTTCTACTTTTCTTTCAACCGGAGGTAGAATGAGTCTAAAGGAGATCATTGTATTTATATTACGATTCAGATAATTTTCTTCAGTAGTTACCCCAAACAGTGATCACCGCACGTCTACTGTATTTGTTGCTAAAATCAGGCGTTGGCTTTTATTGCCATCGAGGAATATTACATTCAAATGAATAAAGGGGTGTTCCTTTCCCACGTGTCGTGTCGCTGCATCCACTCTGTTATGAAAATAGAGAGCTCTTACCTCATGGCCTATTGATATGTCAAGTAATAAATGTGACAGTTACTGGTTCTATTTTCCCTATCCCGTCTTCCTACACAACTGAAATGTAACATGTTTCTTACGAGTAACAGATGCTGGAAACCTTCTTTTGAAATTCCTCTGGAGAAGCTTTCCTGTTGATTCCATTAGATGTGGGAAGTGGCTTTATGCAGATGTGGGCTTGCAGGGATGCAATGTTGTAATTGCTGTTCTACCGACCCCTTGCTGAGTGCCATGCTTTTCTCTTGTAGGTGATGTGCCTTCAGGACTTTTTTGGTGACGATGACATTTTTATTGCATGTGGACCGGAGAAGTTCCGTTACCAGGATGATTTCTTGCTAGATGAAAGTGGTAAGGAAAAAAAAAAAAGTTCAAAACCAGGGGAAATTTGAGGCAGCTTTCCAAAATGAGCCGCACCAGGCCAAGATTATGTCAACCCCAGAGCTACCAAATCAGTTTCAGATCCTCGCCCAGCATGTCTTTTTCATATCTCGAATTTCTTTGATTTTTTTTTTATATAGAAAACAGATGAAATGATAATTGGGAAGGTTAAATCATTCAGAAGAGTAAATTACCAATGGCTAATTTATAACCACTTAATAACTAAATTGATGTTTTATAGAAAACCAGGATGCAGATTTCTACGTTTTTAATGCTCTGTTTTGGTCAACATGTGTAGTTGAGAAATTTGTGATCATAAAATTATTGAGTGTGTTTCTAGGTGGAGCTTTCCCTAGCCTCTTCTGGTTCCTAACTGGGAGGGAGAGTGGCCTGGCATCATCCCTTTTCCTTTAACTACTACTGAATTTGTATGTCATTAGCATCTGTGAGGGAACAAAGAGGAGGAGGGTAGCATCCTTTGGTTCAAATTGAAATGTGATTGTAATAGATGAAGAAGAGACAGTTGATTAATAGGGAAAGACCTGTCTCGAGAAATGAATATGAAAGGTTGTGACTTCAAGAAAGATTCTTTTCTGATGCTATAGTCATTTCAGAATCTTACCAGCATCACAGGAAAGATTATTGCCCTGACAGAAGAGACCTCTCCTTAATCATATTACTTCTAATTTAATTAGGGGAATATCACATATTTATGGACAATTCAGACACAAGGTAGTTGGAAATGCTTTTTGAAGTGGTAATGAATTTTCTGCTTAAATGCATGCAGAAACAAATTAGTGAGCTTTTGATGAAGGGGATGGGAAACACTTGAGCACTTACAGGATTGGATAAGTGATGTGATATTGGGGGTCCCACCCTCCCACAGCTGAAGCACGTTCCTTCAGTATTTGTATTAATACATATGTATGTAGATCATCTATATGCATTTAAACCTAGTACAATTATTTTATCATTTAAAAATGACTTAGGGTGTGTGGGGAGGGATAGGAATAAGAGAGATTGCCCCTGATTGTGAAAACTTCAAATGCCCAATGAAAGTACATATATGATAAAATATGTTAGATAGATAGTTAATATGACAGAAGTGTCATTTGAAGAGATTTAAGTTATTTTGGTTCAAAGAACCTAACTGGAAGGTATCTCTTTCTCTCGAGAAAACTTTAAATACATTCCATCTTTATCTCTAGTTGATGTGCCCTTTGGGAGCAAAGATACTATGAAAATACACCAGCACAGGGAGCCCTCAGAGAGGCCTCTCCCCAACCTACCCTTTCCTTCTACAGAATGAGACAGCCTTGCCATTTTGTGTAGAACAAGAGAATGTTAGGAGTCAGGCGGGAACCCACAGCACAGTTTTGAGGAAAATAAACTGCCTTGACTTTCAATTTAAAGAAAATATCTGCTTCTGATAGAACAAGCTGAAGGAACCATGCGTTCTGAAATGAAAGTTTCATTTGTTGCTTTGATAGGAAACAACCTGTCAAATTCCAACTGGAATATAGTTCAGTTTCAAAACAGCACTGTGGACCTGAGGATGCCAAGGCCTCTATCCAGCCCCCAGGGAAACTTGGGGCCTCTCCCCAGCCTAGCCCCCTGACAGTGAAGGCCCTGGGCTGGGCTTTCCCTTTCCTACACTATGCTCTCACACCAGACACGGCAGCCTGTCCTATTCCCTGCCGACAGCAGGCAGACGGGCTTTCTGGAAAGTACAACAGAAAAAAGTACCAGAAAATCCATTGTGATTTCCCTTGAGAATCCTTTCTCATTAAAAAGAATGCAGGCAGGGGCACCTGGGTGGCTCAGTGGGTTAAAGCCTCTGCCTTTGGCTCAGGTCGTGGTCTCAGGATCCTGGGATCGAGCCCTGCGTTGGGCTCTCTGCTCAGCGGGGAGCCTGCTCCCCCCCCCCCCCCACCGCCGTCTGCCTCTCTGCCTACTTGTGATCTCTGTCTGTCAAATAAATAAATAAAATCTTAAAAAAAAAAGAATGCAGGCAGATAGACAGATTGATATCTGCACGTGTGCATAATGGCGCACTGCACACACGTGAATCGCAACACCTAGCCCATCGCGCATGGTTTGGCACTTGGAAAGACCACTTCAAACTATTTCAGTGAGAAAGTCAGGACTTCACATTCTTACCCCTGATGAATATACCCTAACCATTTCTTGGTGTGAAATCCATTTGCTGAGTAACAGTGTCCTCCCGCATCCTGAGAGAAACACGTGGATTGGGGGAAGGGGGTAGAGAAAGAATCTAAATTGAGATTTTACTTCCTTGGATGAACTTACTCTGAGACTAAATTCACACATTGACAACTGCAATTTCCCTGTTGCTTGTACAGCATGTTCTAGTGCTAATGTATTAAAATTTGAATCTTTTTTTAAGTGCTCTGAGATGATTTATCCCAGCTTATCTGTACTTGCTAAATGGTATTTGCACATTGAGGCTTCATTTGGCCTGTTCCATAGTAGCTTCCTAAAAGGAGTATCGGCGGGGGGTACAGACATCTTTGGAATTAATACTCAAGCAGGGCTGTGCTTGATTTAATGGCATCAAGAAATGGCCTTTTGCCACAAGGCAGCACTTTTATTTTATCTTTCAAAATTAACCCAGCTCCTGGTGTGCTCAGGATTAGCAATAATACATCCCCCTAATTACTTCTGGGAAAGCTCCGGGAGACTGCTCATAAGGTCTTTCCAATGAGGAATTCTGCCTTCATAGGCTTATATTTCATGGGCTACATTGGACCCAGATCGATATTAGAAGCTACGAGGGAGGAACCTTCCTCCCCTAAATTTTCACATGGGAAGGAAAAAAAAAAAAAAAAGCCTTCCTTTTTCCATCTTGAACTGTAACTCATTTTAGCGATATCGTCATCAATCACTGGAATCTTAGCACCTTCGAAAAATGGTGGCTATAGCACTATATATAGAGACAGACAGGCCAACAGCTCCTTCCCCTGCATGGGCTGCTGTCTCATTTAGAACGATGAAGCACAGGCAAGGAAAATGCCAAATTGGAGACAGGAAGCTTAACATAGTTTTGCTTATATATTGATGATAAACTGACGAATTTGCGATTTTTGGTGCCATTAAAAAGTGACAGGATTTTGTTGAGAAATGCCTATCTCTCACCTGGGGGGAGAGGAAGTTAAGTCCTTGGTGAGGAGCCTGTCGCAGCATATCACCTTCTGTCTGCCTGCCCACCCCCCCAGCCTCAAGCCAGCACCCTCAAACTTGCTCGGCCTGTTTATTCACCCATGTACCTCACCCCTGCTGGGCCTGCCACCTGCTCAGGAATCTAAATATATCTCTCACTCTCTCTTTTTACTAGTTCCTGAGTGCTCTTGATTCTGATGTTAATAGGTATTACTTCAAACTTACACATTTCTGCATAGATGTTGTATGAGTTTCCTAAGCCTGCTGTTAACCAATCACCATGAATTGGGTGGCTTCCCACAACAGAAATTGATTCTTCAACAGTTCTGGGGGCCAAAGTCCAAACTCAAGGTATAGGGAAAATCTGTGCTCCCTCTGACGGCTTGAATAAGAATCCTTCAAAACTATAATACTAGCTCCTGCCGGTAGCTGGCTTGGAATCCTTTGGCTGCTACTGCAGCATTGCTCTAGTCTCTTCCTTCAACCTCATGAGGCCTTCTCTGTCTGTCCGAATTTCCCTCTTCTTATAAGGACACCAGTTATTGGATTAAGGTCCGTCCTAACCCAGTATGACTTCATTTTAACATGGTTACATCTGCAGAGACCCTATTTCCAAATAAGGTCACATTCACAGGTACCAGGGTTAGAAGCTCAACTTATCTTTTGTGGGGCACAATTCAACCCACAGAAAGATGTTTGAGGTTGTCTGGATTTTAGTTGAACTTGAGTTACAAGTAAACTCACTTTTAATTTGTTTGTTTTGACCTGTCTTTCGATTTGTGCTGTTATAGCTTTATATTAATGAGTAGAAGACATAGACAAGATTGCTGTGACAAGACTATCCCCTCTTTTGGCCTTTTGTAGGTAGCGTCACTCACCTGGGGTGTGAGAAGAATGCCCTGAAATGGTCTGAGAAGTGTACTGGTCAGCAGTGCATTTGACAGAACCTCTCTTGAACTCCTTCTGAATAAGATAAAAATATATGGTCTGAAGTCCATGGGATGGCTCTATTTTTAGTTGATAGAACTGGCCTGTCCAAGAAGTACTTATTTACAGATTGATGTCACTGTGTTGGAGGAGATCGCTATTAGAATTGACCCATGAGGTCCCTGAAGGGAGGGACTGTTTGTGTGCTAAGAGTCATGGCAATAGGGTTATTCCTTGGATTCTGTATAGTTTAATGTGACAAGAAATGGCCATTTGAGAACGCGGGTGGTGTGTGAATGAAATTATCTGGTAGGAAAGCAAGGATCCACAAGGATTTTAGCGGAATGGATTGTATCCAAGAAGATAAAATTGAATTGGTATTAACAAAGAGTAGTGCTTTAGGTATTTTTTCATTGAAAAGAAAGCCAGTTTTAAACCAGCTTAGTCAGGAGTAATGTAGTTTTAACAGGAGAACATGTGAACATTTTAGTTGACTGCAGGCTTCTTGTGAGATGTGGCTCATTTGCGGTCTGGATTGTAGGCATGTCCTCTATGATAATACCTTTCAGCCCCTCTGATTGAACATGGCAAATGTTGACTGAAGAAAAAAGTTAAAATGAATAAATGTTCTTCAAAATTCACAAAACTACTACAGAAGTCTAGTAAGTATAGTGTAGAAGAATAGACAAAAAAATAATTGGGCTTTCACATGATTTTTGTAAGTTGGTAGCATCCATACTTTCGAAGTTACGAAAGTTCACAAGTGCACTAAGACTTTTAGGATACAGTAAGTGTGTGTCCATGTGTGTGCATAACGTCCTGTTTCTGGGGAATGCCAGTCCAACTTCTCCCTGCACTAGACA